ACCTTGGGAGACGGCAACCGTCAGAGAAGAGCAACCAAGGTGATTAGGGAACTGGAGGCTCAAACATATAAGGAACGGTTACTGGAACTGGGTACGTCTAGTTTAATGAAGAGAAGGGTGAGGGGGGACATGATAGCAGCCTTCCAGTATCTCACGGGCTGCCACAAAGAAGAGAGAGTCGAGCTATTCTCCAAGGTACCTGAAGGCAGAACAAGAAACAACGGATGGAAACTGATCAGGGAGAGAAGCAACCTAGAACTAAGGAGAAACTTCCTGACAGGTTGGATCGCCTTGCAGTCCAGGGGACTCACAGGGGTCTTCTGCAGCACCATAGTTCAAAGGCCTCCATTCTTTGGCGCTCAGCCTTTCTTATGGTCCAACTTTCACAGCCATACATTGCGACTGGGGAAACCATGGTCTTGACTATACATACTTTGGTTGGCAGGGTGATGAGCAAGCGTCTTTTAATTGAGGCACCATCTTGCTCCAGTGCAATTTAATCTCCCCCTCCCACTTGCTCTGGCACAAGAGACCTTTTCCAGACCTCAATAAAATTGTTTAAAAAAAAAAGAAAAAGAAAGAAATTAAGCCTAGCAGATAACAAGAAGCCTTGGCAATGGCTAAAACAGGAAAATTGAAGATACTTTTAACGGCACCAAACAACTCCTGTCTATCCCATATCCTTGGAAAGGACTCAAGTGCCAATTCCAGTCTATAAACATCTGGCTGATCGTGCAACCAAGCAAATAATAAATACCACCAGAGGAAAAAACAAGCAAAATTGCCTAATCTGCAGCTTGACTTTATAGATTGATCATTTACTTTCAGTAAAAGTTGACCTCTTGCGATAACTAATATCACATAGAAGTATTAACATATGGTATGAGTATAGGGGCAGGGGTAGTCAACCTTGGCTCTTTTATGACTCGTGGACTTCAACTCCCAGAATTCCTGAGCCAGCTGTGCTGAGGAGAAAGGGAGAGGTTTCCATGCTGAGCCAGGCTGGCTCAGGAATTCTGGGAGTTGAAATCCACGAGTCATAAAAGAGCCAAGGTTGCCTACCCCTGTCCTAAGTCCTCCTGTTCTAAGTCATAAGTCTAAGTCCTGTTCAAAGCGGCGAGCCTCCTAGACCAGGGGTAGACAACCTTGACTCTTTTATGACTCGTGGACTTCAACTCCCAGAATTCCTGAGCCAGCTATGCTGAGGAGAAATGGAGAGGCTTCCATGCTGAAGCAGGCTGGCTCAGGGATTCTGGGAGTTGAAGTCCATGAGCCATAAAAGAGCCAAGGTTGCCTACCCCTGGTATAGGGTTTCCTACCTGAGCAGGGAGTTGGACTAGAAGACCTCCAAGGTCCCTTTTAACTCTGTTATTCTATTAACACTGGACTTCCTTGATTCGTTTCCAATACGCTTCCTTTTATTCCCCCTCGGTTCAATGCTTCCTTTTTAAAATAAATTGTGAACGTTGCCAAGCGAGTCATTGTTTATTAAGTACTTGGCAGCATTAAATCCTGGGCATTTCTATCTGCTCAGTCCTGGAGCCTTTTTTTTTTTCTTTTTTCTTTTTCTATTTTGGAAATTCCAACCTTGGAATTAAGAGTCGAGCTGAGAGACTGAAAACAAAACAGACCCGAAACTGAAAGCGGTAGGGGTGGGGAAAAAAAAGACTCTTCCAAATATGGACAAGGAAGTAGTGACTCAATCTCCTTCAGATATTTTCATACAGTAACAACTGAATGTGATGTAGGGAAGATTTGTGCAAAATCATGCCTGATTCTTAACTTGGCTACTCTTTCTAAGAACCTGAAAACAAAGCAGGAGAAGAAGTTGGCATGCCAAGGACGAATTTGAAATATACCCTGGAACCACAAACACCATCCGTGATTCTCTGAAATATTACTGAAGTACAGCTTAGCCCTGACTTGAACTGCTTCCTATATCCAAAACTGTAATTTGAGCCCATTCTTTAGGTTGCCCCCACTCAAAACTGGTTGGACTCCAGATGTTTTTCATATAACATAGTCTAGGCCACAGTGTTTCTCAACCTTGACAATTTTAAGGCATGTGGACTTCAACTCCCAGAATTCCACAGCCAGCATTGCTGGCTGTGGAATTCTGGGAGTTGAAGTCCACATGCCTTAAAATTGTCAAGGTTGAGAACACTGGACTAGGGATAGGCAACCTCGGCTCTTTTATGACTCATGGACTTCAGCTATGCCGACTCAGGAATTCTGGGAGTTGAAGTCCACGAGTCATAAAAGAGCCAAGGTTGCCTACCCCTGACGTAGACTATACTAAGAAAATCGGTACTAACAAACAATATAAATATACCAGCAATCCTCGACTGAACGATTACAATTGAGCCCAAATTCACATCTGTTAAGTGAGTTTCACCCCATTGAATGACCTTTCTGGCCACAGTTGTTAAGTGAATCACTGCAGGTGTTAAATTAGTGTTGTTGTTGTTAATTGCGAAGTCGTGTCCGACCCATCGCGACCCCATGGACAACGCTCCTCCAGGTCTTCCTGTCCTCCACCATCTTCTGGAGTCCATTTAAGTTCACACCTACTGCTTCAGTGACTCCATCCAGCCATCTCATTCTCTGTCGTCCCCTTCTTCTATTGCCCTCCATCTTTCCCAGCATTAGGCCCTTCTCCAGTGAGTCCTTCCTTCTCATTAGGTGGCCAAATTAGTAACATGGTTATAAAGTGAATCAGGCCTCCCCATTGACTTTGCTTGTCAGAAGATCACAAAAGGGGATCACGTAATGCGGGACACTGTAACCGTCATAAATAAGAGTCAGTTCTCCCAAGCATCTGAATTTTGATCACATGTCCACGGAGCTGCTGAAATGGTCGTAAGTGTGAAAACTGGTCATAAGTCACTTTTTTCGGTGCCATTGTAACTTCGGTCACTAAATGATAATGTTGTAAGTCGAGGACTGCTTATACTGCAAAACTTTAAAGGCATTGAATTCTCAAAGGCCCCATGAAACAGTTCAAGTTTCAGTCAGTTCGGTACAATCCTGGGTGATCAAGGTCCACCTCTAGTGAAGACGGTTCCGTAAAATATTTAAAATAACCAAAAACATTCTCCCACCTCATAAAAAAAATGGGGAACCCCTAGCAATTTCCCCTCGAAGATCACCTCAACTTGGTTGCCTTGGTGTCATTGTTGTTTATAGATATTTATTTCATGGCACACGGTGATATTCTTCATTTTTGATCCAATCAGCGTAGAAGTCCTAGAACCAACTTAACAACTAAGGAGAAATTTCCTGACAATTAATCAATCAGTAGAACAGCTTGGCTCCAGAAGCTGCGGGTGCTCCAACACTGGAGGTCCTCAAGAATAGACTGGACAGCCACTTGTCTGGAATGGTATAGGGTCTCCTGCTCAAGCAGTGGGTTAGACTAGAAGACCTCCAAGGTCCCTTCCAACTGTGTAATTCTGTATTCTGTTCTGGACCAGAAGTAACAGGTGGAAGATCATTAGAGTTCCAAATTGAAACGTCCTTCAGAAGCTGTGGGTGCTCCAACAGTGGAGGTTTTTAAGAAAAGATTGGGCAACCTTTTGTCTGGAATGTTTTAGGAGCTCCTGCTCAAGCAGGGGGTTAGACTAGAAGACCTCCAAGGTCCCTTCCAACTCTGTTATTCTGTTATTTTTCCTATTTCTCTGCTATAAGAGCTTCTGGAGCTGCAGGAGGCTCCAGCTTAAAAAAATGGGCTTGGTTTCCTCATATTCCAGCCTCACCCGAGTGAACTCACAATCCATTGTAAATCTTTTTCTTTTTTAAAAGAAATCAAGATAGATTTTAACAAGATAAGTATGGTGATTTTAAAATTTTGCTGTTCAGTATAAGTTGATTCACAGCAAAAAAAAATCTTCCTTAAATTTGCCTTGATGCTTCTTGCATTTAAGTCTGTCAGAACTTTGAACAGTTGCTAAGTGACCGGTCGTAAGTCAAAGACTACCTGTAGTCTAGGACAAGGCTAGGCAACCTTGACTCTTTTATGACTCATGGATTTCAACTCCCAGAATTCCTGAGCCAGCCATGCTGAGGGAAAAGGGAGAGGTTTCCAAGCTGGCTCAGGAATTCTGGGAGTTGAAGTCCACGAGTCATAAAAGAGCCAAGGTTGCCTACCCATGGGCTAGGCTGTAATCTGGTTTTAGAAATACAGGTAATGCTCAACTTAACAACCATTCTCCTTAGTGACCGTTCGAAGTTACGACAGTACTGAAAAATGTGACTGACAACCGTTGCAGCATCTCCATGGCCACATGAACAGAATTCGGGCACTTGGCTCTTGGCTTATATTTATGACGGTTGCGCTGTCCCAGGGTCATGTGATCAGCATTTGTAACCTTCCCACTGGCTTCCGACAAACAAAAGCAATGGGGGAAGCCACGTTTGCCTAATGACCATACAATTCATTTAACAATTGCAGTGATTTGTTTAACTGCCGGCAAAAAGGTCATAAAATTAACGTAACTCACTTAAAATGTGGACCCAGATTGTTGGGGTGTATAGACTGTAAACTGCTTAGAGGGGGCTGTAAAAGGCCCTATGAAGTGGTATATAAGTGTTATTGCGGTAGGTAGGTAGGTTGATAGATGATTGATTGATAGATAGATAGATAGATAGATAGATAGATAGATAGATAGATAGATAGATAGATAGATAGATAGATAGATAGATAGCCATGGAGACACAGTGGTTAGAATGCAGTATTGCAGGCTAATTCTTCCGACTGCCAGGAGTTCGATCTTGACGGGGCTCAAGGTTGACTCAGCCTCCCATCCTTCCGAGGTCGGTAAAATGAGGACCCAGATTGTTGGGGACAAGAGGCTGACTCTGTAAACCGCTCAGAGAAGACTGTAAAGCGGTACATAAGTGCTGTTGCTGTTGCCTTGCTTAACAACAGAAACTTTGGACTCGGTTGTAGTCATAACTTGAGGACTACCTGTACATTATTCTCTTGCTTTTCCTGTTTGTAGGATTACTATGGAATCACATTCCCTGCTCCTGCGAACCTGACCAGCAGAGACGGAGCCCTTGCTAACAACCCTTACTCAGGTGAGGCAATGTACAGGTATGGCTGTGGACCTCCGTTGTCCATGCCAGGCTGTCTGTTGCTTGACTATTGCATTGCGATGGCTACCTTGGTGGAAGTCCATTCCTTTCTGTGCCTTTTCCATCAACCCCAAGAAGACCAAAAACTTCAGAGTCATATTGATGTCATCTCCAGGGCACTTGCTCCCTTGGAGAGAAACCTCATCCTCACCGACACTGTTACTGTAAAAGTGGAAGGATGTCCAGATCAGGGTGTGAATTAGGAACAAATTGGGATGCTATTTCGTATTCTCTTCACTCACTCAGGGAACGAATGGCGTGTATCTCCTTGTACATTACATCTCACCTGTAATCCATGTGCCTTGACCAGCATATTTCTAGAAAACACAAGGTTTTCCATCATCTGGACTACCTTAACTCCTCTTGTGGTTTTGTTCTACACACACTTTCTGTTGAACCTTCCAGAGTGCAGAGCAGAGGTGTCCAACCTTAGTGGACTTGTGGACTTCAACTCCCAGCACAGTTGGCTGGGGAATTCTGGGAACTAAAGTCCACAGGTCTTAAAAGTGGCTAAGTTTGGAGACCCCTGTTCTAAATGCTTACAGATGTGATAGATAACACAAAGCACAGAACTGTGAAAAAGCGGTTCGCTGTACTGGTGGAAGACTTGAAACAGCATGGCGGGCTGGCGAAATCTGGGAGTTGAAGTCCGCAAGTCTTAAAATTGCCAAGATTGCACACCCCTGGTATAGAGCCTCAGCAGGGTAGGCAGGAACCAACATTGGGCAACTGAAATAGATGGGGACTAGTTTCTTTGGACAGTCCCAAGTATTACAGGCAGGACCAACCAGCCACCAGAAGGCACCTGGTGGGTCCAATAATGAAAACAGTAGAGCAGTGGTTCTCAACCTTTTTAATGCCGGGACCCCCAACCGATCATAAGTCGAGGACTACTCAACTGGTCATAAGTCGAGGACTACTCAACTGGTGCAGCACCGTTTGCAGAATGGGACTTTTGGCGGGCTCAGCAGGGCAGAGACAGCATGGACAATTCCTATTGGCTTTTGAAAGCCAATAGAATTAGACTCTATTCAAGAGAGTCTATTCTATTGGCTTTCAAAAGCCAATAGAATAAAAGGGAGTAGCACAGCTAAGGAAAAGGGGGAAAAAATGGCGGACTGCGTTGTTTGGCGACCCCCGTGAAATGGTTGTTCGACCCCAAATGGGGTCCCGACCCACAGGTTGAGAACCACTGCAGTAGAGTTTAATTGTCCTTTTAAACAAGATTGTGTCTCACAAATCAACCTGTTCAATCATCCCAAAGAGGAATCGCCTGACCCACTTTTTTTGTTACTTCCTTCTTCCCATCTAGGTGATATCACAAAATTTGGCCGTGGAGATTCAGCTTCACCCGCGCCCGTAACCACCCTTGCCCAGGCTCAGCAGAACCAGACGCAAGCCCACCACACAGCTCAACAGCCCTTCCTCAACACGTTGCCACCTGGGTACAGCTACACTGGCTTGCCATATTACGCCGGGGTGCCAGGAGTTCCCAGTGCTTTCCAGTATGGCCCAACCATGTTTGTAAGTTCTCAGGTTCCCAACTGCTGTTGGGCATCGGCTGGGATTCTCCCATAACTGTTGCATCTTTGATGTGCTCTGAGCTTGGTTGTTTCCTTGCAGATGTTTCATCACAGCACTAGGGAACATCATCAGAGTTAGAAGGGAGTGGGTTTGCAGAGAGGAGGAGGAGGAGGAGGAGGAGAACTGTGGGGTCCTTGGTGCTCTCTGAGCTTGGTTGTTGTCTGGCAGAAGTTTCATGACCCAGCTAGGTAACATCCTCAGTGATGGAAAGGAGTGGGGTTTGTGAACTGGGAGAATAAGGGGGAGGAGGTGAAGGAGGAAGAGGAGGCTGTAGGGTCCTGGGTGCTTTCTGAATTTGATTGTTTTCTTGCAGATGTTTCATTACCCAGCTAGGGAACATCATCAGTGCTAGAAGGGAGTGGGGTTTGCAGGGAGGAGGAGGAGGAGGAGGAGGAGGAGGAGGAGGAGGAGGAGGAGGAGGAGGAGGAAAAGGACTGTGGGGTTCTTGGTATTCTCTGAGCTTGGTTGTTTTTCTTGCAGATGTTTCATTACCCAACTAGGGAACATCATCAGTGCTAGAAGGGAGCGGGGTTTGCAGGGAGGAGGAGGAGGAGAAAAAGGACTGTGGGGTTCTTGGTATTCTTTGAGCTTGGCTGTTTTTCTTGCAGATGTTTCATGACCCAACTGGAGAACATCATCAGAGTTAGAAGGGAGTGGGTTTGCAGAGAGGAAGAGGAGGAGGCTGTAGGGTCCTGGGTGCTGTCGTGACAGCTGAGTCTGGGGAATCTGAGGAGGAGGTGGAGGAGGCATTTGGAGGGCCATCAGGGTCAGAGGGAGGCTCTGATGAATTACAAGACTCATGGTTTGATGAAGAGCCTGGCCATCCAGTCGTGTTACGGATGAAGCTCAGCTGTGTGGGGAGAATGAGTCAGACTTGGAGGGTTCACACCTGATGGACATGATCGATGCTCGCAGTTAACGAGAGCAGATCAGCAGCAGTCAATACGACAACTCCAGGGGAGGAGGAGAAGGCACTGAGAGGCAACGCCTTGGGACTGCTGTATAAAAAGGGAAGGTGTGGGTGGTGCTGGTTGCTGAAGGCAACCGTTGCAAAATACTTCATTGGATCATGTTCTGTTAGTATTGCCGGTGACTACTTTTCCGTTTTGCATCGTGTTTCGTGTGGACAATTTCCTCCATTTGGATTGAGTTTTGCTGCTTTTGTTTCTGGACTATTTGGCAGGTTTGTTACCCATATTAAAAAGGGTTTGTTTTCTTTTGAGTCTCCAGCCTATTTTCTCAACAGGGGTTTTGTCCTTGTGCCTTTAACAAGGACGGCCATAGGTTGGGATAGAACAGGTGCTTTCTGAATTTGATTGTTTTCTTGCAGGTGTTTCATGACCCAGCTAGGGAACATCATCAGTGCTAGAAGGGAGCGGGGTTTGCAGGGAGAAGGAGGAGGAAAAGAAGAGGAGGGGGGCTGTGGGGTTCTTGATATTCTCTGAGCTTGGTTGTTTTTCTTGCAGATGTTTCATGACCCAACTGGAGAGCATCATCAGAGCTAGGAGAGAGTGGGTTTGCAGAGTGGAAGGGAGGGGGAGGAGGGGGACTGTGGGGTTCTTGGGATTGTCTAAGCCTGGTTGTTTTTCTTGCAGGCATTTTATTATCAAACAAGGGAGCCATGCCACTCCTAGCACTGATGATATTACCTAGTCGTGTCACGAAATGCCTGCAAGGCAACGACCAAGCCTGAGATAAATGTCACTTTACATTTCATTAACTGAATAACCGCAGTGGTTCACTTAACAACTGTGGCAAGGAAGGTCGTAAAATGGGGCAAAAGCGACTTGGCAACTGTCTTGCTTAGCAACGGAAATGTTGAGCTGAATTGTATTGTAAGTCGAGGACTGCTTGTACTCGATGGGCCATTTTTGTGGAGTCTCCCATCACCAGCTTCTTCGCTGTGTATCTTGCGAGAGGAGCTCCCAGTGACAACACACAAATACACAGATATACACACATGATTGTGTTTTTCAAACGTTGATCCAAAGGTGCTGTCTGTCTTTCCCAAAATGCAACTGGATTTTCTTAGGGTTTTTTTCCTTGCAAATATTAATACTTCTCATCCAAGGAGTTTCTTCATTTCCTTTGAAGAACTGAAGAAGCTTCTCGGATGAGAAACAGAAACATTTTCAAAGGGAAAAGAAAACCCAAGAAAGTCCAGTTGCCTTTTGGAGAGAAAAAAGCACCTTTGGGGCAACCAGGAGAATTTCCATAGACATATCTCAAATGCTGACCTTTCTCCCGTTACCTTCTCCAGCATGATGAATGTAGAATCCACCGGATGGGTTATTTCAGCCTTCCTGCCCAGATAGACTAGGTCAGAACTTTGGCCACGCCTCCTTCAGGGTGTGTCTTCCCAGTTTTGACTTAGTCTCGTGCTCAGCAAGGCACAGATATTTTGGCTCCTTAACTAGGCTAAGTTATTTGTATTTATTTTACACTATTTCAATTTAATTAGGTTAATTAAATGCTAACCTTTCTCCCTTTACCTTCCTCAGGTCCCTCCAGCCTCAGCCAAGCAGCACAGCGTGGCCTTGAACGCCGCCTCTACGCCCTTCCAGCAGGCCGGCAGCTATGGCCAGCACGGTTATGGAGCAGGTGAGGACTCTGCCAGGCGGTGGCAGGTACCCCGCGGGCGGGGGCATGTCTCCGTATTTGGGCAGGGCTGAAAGACCATTGCAAACCCAAAGGTGCTTTTTCAGGAGGCAAGTGGACTTTCTTGTTTTACTCTGAAGACGTTCCCCTTCTCGTCCAAGAAGCTTCTTCAGCTCTGACTGGATGGTGGGGAACGGAAGGATTGATACTCCTTGCAGACAGCTGGTCATTTGTGCTCTTTTAGAGAGGCGTTGAGGCCACTTGGAGGTTTTACCTCTCTCCTCAAGGACACCCGCGCGGTGCAAATGGGCCGGGAGCCTTCTTGGTTGGCTGCAGGATGTTTTCTGCCCTGGGTCCCTTCACTGTTGAAGACAGTGGTTTCTGGAAATCCATTCAGACTCCCACAGATTACAGGAACCATTTGCGCTTCGGTTTGAGACTCATCCCCAACAGCCTGTGCCTGTCTTCCACAGGGGAGGGACCCAGGGCAGAAAGCATCCTGTAGCCAAGAAGGCTCCACACCCCTTTGCACCACTCAAGTGACCTTGCAGTTGACGGTAAAAAACTAGGGTCCAGCTGATTTACTCTCTTTAGTGTAAATCAGGGGTGTCAAACTCAATTTCATTCAGGGCCACATCAGCATTGCGGTTGCCCTCAGGGGGCCGGGTGGGTGTGGCCAGGGTGGGTGCGGCCTACTGGGTGGGTGTGGATGGAGTGGGTGTGGCCTGCTAGGTGGGCATGGCCAGCTCTACATCGTTCGCCTCAGGGGTGCCTGTGGGGGCCTGGGCAGAAGTGGGACAAATCTGAGGGTCTCTGGCAGAAGGGGGTGGGACCAGGGCAAGCGCCAAGGCATGGTCTACTGGAGGAGCCTCACCGTTCCTCTCAGGCCCCGGCGGGGGGGAGCTGGATGGTGGTGCGGGTTGCCCGGAGCCCTGGGTAGCAGAGGTCGAATGCCCAGCCTGGCTCTTGAGCACCCACGGCACCAAGCCTAGCCCCACTTCCTCAAGGCTGCTGCTCAAGGTTCTCCTGGTTCCTCGCTGTTTCTAGACAGCCTTGTGGAGCTAAGACTGAATGCGTTTCAGCATAAACGGCCACCACAAAATTGTACATTGGCTCCCGGCTGGCCAGGGCCAAGGCAGCAGGGGCCGTTCCCTCACTGTTTCCAGGATGGCTTCGCGGGCCACATGAAACCACTTTGCGGGCCACATCTGTCCCCCAGGCCTTGTGTTTGACATGTCTAGTGTAAATACTCATTTGAGATCCCCACGCGTGCCTTTAGTGTCGAACTACCTAGATTTGCTTATGCCCTTTTTGTGATTTTTCAGTTAGTTGGCATTCGTTTCCTTTCTTCCATGCTTACTTTTCGAGATGGGTATAAAGATAATAATAATAATAGCTATGATCATTCATACCCAAGGAATGCTAATTTTGGACACTCCTACCCTTTCTGGCAGCTCTGCTTAGTGCATAATTGCGATTGGGACAGCGGCCATGAAAATAGTCTCTCTCCTTCCTCCCCTCAGGTTACGATGACCTCACCCAGGGGACGGCGGCTGGAGACTACAGCAAAGGGCCCTACGCTGCCGCCTCCCAAGCACAAAACAAGTCATCTGGCAGTGGAGCAGGGAAAGGTAATTGGGGCCTCTCTTTTTCTAACAGAGGAGAAGATTCGTAGCTCAGGGTTGGACTGTGGGGTCCTTGGCGCTCTCTGAACTTGGCGGTTTTCTTGCAGACGTTTTATGCCCCGACTAGGTAACTTCATCAGTGCTAGAAGGGAGGGGGGTTTATGGAGGAGGAGGAGGAGGAGGAGGAGGAGGAGGAGGAGGAGGAGGAGAACCGTGGGGTCCTTGGTGCTCTCTGAGCTTGGTGGTTTCCATGCAGACGTTTCATGTCCCGACTAGGTAACTTCATCAGTGCTAGAAGGGAGGGGGGTTTGTGGAGTGGAGGAAGCGAGGAGGAGGACAACCGTGGGGTCCTTGGTGCTCTCATGTCCCGACTAGGTAACCTCATGAGTGCTAGAAGGGAGGGGGGGTTTGTGGAGTGGAGGAAGCGAGGAGGAGGAGGAAGAGGAGGAGGACAACCGTGGGGTCCTTGGTGCTCTCTGAGCTTGGTGGTTTCCATGCAGACGTTTCATGTCCCGATTAGGTAACCTCATGAGTGCTAGAAGGGAGGGGGGTTTGTGGAGTGGAGGAAGCGAGGAGGAGGAGGAGGAGGAGGAGGAGGAGGAGGAGGAGGAGGAGGAGGACAACCGTGGGGTCCTTGGTGCTCTCTGAGCTTGGCAGATTTCATGCAGACATTTCATGTCCCGACTAGGGAAGCTCATCAGTGCTAGAAGGAACAAGGTTTTGCATGGAGAGGGAGGAGGACTATGGGGGTCCTTAGTACTCTCTGAACTTGCCTGTTTTTTTCAAAACATTTCATGACCTAAACTAGGTAACTGTCAACGCTGCTAACGTTGGATGTTTTTGCTTTGACAAAATAGGAAGAGGCAGCCACTCTCTGCATAATCTGTCTGGTACTTTTAGAGTTAAAATTAGATGATGCCGGGAGGGAAGGAGAAAGAATGTGTGTGGGGATTAGTTAAGATAAGAAACAGCATGCTATAGAACAGAAGGGAAACTTTGCCCTTCAAACTGATTGGAGAACAGTGATTTAGGACTGCTAATTGGAGGAGGGAATTGTGCTTGAATATTATGTGCTCAGGGGAGGGGAATTCAGATCTTGGCATCCCCCATGTTCGTGGGGAAGGGGGCTGTACTAATAAAGAGACTTTAAGGTAAACAATGCCTCGAAGTTCTTTGAAGTATTCCCCTAATCAGTATTCCCCTAATTGGAACCATGACATCAACCTCATCAGTGGTAGAAGGGAGAGGGGCTTGTCCTTTGTTTATACATAAGTGGCTTGCCCTGCCAGCGTTCTCACTACCCAATCAAGGAACTTCCAACTCAGATAAGCAATAAACCAGCAAAGAACAACCCAGTCAAGGAAACCAGCAAGACCATTCCCACCAACGCCAACAAGGCAGGCCATTGGTAGATAAAACAGAGAGCAACACCCCCTCTTCCTTTCCAGCACTCAGGATGCTATCTGGTTGGCTCTGAGATTTGACAGCCCCTGTCCTGATGGTGTTCTAGAGGGCATTGGGGACTCAGCTGTTCTCCCTGGCTTTCAACTGACTGCCTTGGGCATCTTTTTTCATATCATATTCTGAGAGTTATTTTGCTTTTGTGCTGTGGTGTGGGACCTAAGTCAAATAAAATATAATAGATAATAAAATAAACAGCAGGTACTGCAAATACAGACTTCTACAGATATGGAGAGAATGGCCATAATTTAAGAACTGGGATTCAGCCCCATTGTAGTTGGTTTGGTTCATTGGTTCGTTCGTTCATTCATTCATTCATTCATTCATTCATTCACTTTCTATAGATTTTAGTGCTCTGTGGACAAAAAAAGGCAGGGTAACAATTGCAGGAATAATGCATTTAAAATTCCAGTTTGTTCTCTTTGGAAGAAAAAGAGTACAGTTTGTTTTCTTAAGGCATAAAGGGAGCATCAAGTCTGCTGCCCTCCGTGACTCATGTGGCTCTTCTCCCAGAAGGGAAGCAGCGCTTGGAGCATGTCAGAACACTTAAGGTCCTAAGAACACGGCTGCTCATCCTTCTTTGAAGTGGTGCAGTTGTAGGAAGTGTTCTTGCCCACTGGCCGTTTGTGTAGCTGACACAACTCTCTCTCTCTCTCTCTCTGTCTCTCACACTTTGTCCCCAGGTGTTTCTGTGACCTCAAGTAACACAGGTGTGCCTGACATCAGTGGCTCTGTCTACAACAAAGGCCAGGTGAGTTCAGCACCGTTGGGTCCGGATGGATTTCGTGTTCGGGGATGGTCCCAAGGAGACTGTGGCCCAAAACATCAAGATGGCAGCTACAGAGCCACATGGCTGAAGCTCCACCTGCATTTTATTTGCATCCTTGCAGTCATCATCTTCATGTTTTGGACCACACCCTGTCCTGGTGGCATTTTAACACCTCATCTCACTCTCTTAAAGGGTTTGTAAGCCAAGAACCAGGTGGTGATCTGTCCTGCCCTGCCCTGGAAATGTAGAATCCTTTATTGCTTGTTAAATTCCACCACAAACAGCCCTACAACACCCAATAAAGCTCCACCCCAATTTTAAACAGAAAATATAGTAAAGAAATATGGTACTTAATTTTGCATATAACAACGGCGGCAAGAATAGCATACACACGGTGCTGGAAAAATGAGAATATACCATCAGAGGAAGAAGTGATAAGAAAAATCCTGGACTGTGCTGAGATGGACAAATTAACAAAAGAGATAAAAGAAAAGGAAGACACAGAGTACTATATAACATGGAATAAGTGGTATGATTGGCTGGAGACTAGAAATAATAGAGGAGAATAAATATGGAAAGGTCAAAAGTGAAAATATGTGTATAATAATGTATAATAATAATAATATGAATTATTCTTAGTAAGAAGTAGAACATGAAGGAAGAAAAATGTAAATAAGAAACAACGGGGCAATAAGGACAAATATTCTAAAGAAGAATAAGGGGGGGGAAATGTAAATAATAGAAGATTACCGTTATGTAATCGCTGTTAAAAAGGGGGGGAGGAGTATATACTGTGTGTGTATGTGTGTTATGTTTTGTTTTGCTTTGTTGGTTCAAAAATAAAATTAAAAAAAAAAGGCTCCACCCCACACTCCACCCCTGAAGGCAGCCACCCACAGTCTCACAAACTAAAGCTAGTAAGCAACAGACCAATTTGCAAAGGCAGAGTCCAAAGATAAGGGGCAAGCTCATGGGGCAAGGTCTGGGTTCAAGGTCCAAAGGGCAAGGCAAGTCCATGAGGCCAAGACAATCCACAGGGCAAGGCGCAAGGCACAGGCAGAAAGCCAAGTCAAGGCTGAGTTTCTCCAAGGCTGGGGGAATGTGAGCCAAAACAATGACACCTACATCCCCTAAACTCCGCTGAAGATGCTACCTAGCTTGATAACGAAACGTTCGGAAACCGACCCACAAGCTCGATGTCAACGCTGCAAATATTGTCTATTCTTGCTTTTGACAATATGCAGAATTGTCTGGTAATTATGGGGTTAATACAGAGCAGAAGGGGGGTTGGGGGTAAAGCCCGGGAAAGAAAGAGGAAGAAAACTTTTGACCTTCACACTAATTGGATAATGTGAGGCTAATTTAGGGAGGGAACATGCTGATAATTTAACCGCTCAGAGGAAGAGAACTTAGATCCTAGCATCCCTCCGTTGTGCCTGTGCCGACATTTTGCAACAATAAAAGACTTTTAGGAAAACAAATGCCTGGAAGTTCTTTGAAGCGTTTCATTAGCCGGAACCACAACACTCGGAGAACAAACCTCCACCCTCATCCTCCATCCGAGCGACAGATATTCACCACTATTGCAAGGAAACAATTGTTCCTGACAGAGACAAACTCCCCCCCCCCCTTCTCCTTAAGTCAACCCACGCCAGGTCTTCCTTGTCCAGGTGGCCTCCTCTCCAGTAGCCTTGCAGACCTCCTTTGAACTTGCTCTACTCTCCGTGCCCTCAGATCACGTGGGGGAGGCAGCTGTTCCTCATCAGGGGGGGGGAATCTGCTGCTTCTCAGAACCACTGCCTGCCTGCAGTTGATCCTCCCCCATGTCAGCGAGGATAAGCAGCACTCCATCCAGTGGACCACTTCCCCCAATGCCTGAGGGGCCTGGGGCAGCATCGTCCTCAGCCCCCCCGCCTCTACAAATAGGGCAAGGGAGACGGGCCAACCCTGTTGGATGGTCTCAGTTCCAACAACTCCTCCTTCTCCTCCTCCTCCTCAGAACCGGGCTCCGATGGGGCCATGAGTAGCCCTTCTCTCCAGCCTGCAGGAATTAATACTCCACTGCTTCTGTAACATCAGTTTTCTTAAATGCAGATAGTCCTCGACTTACAACTGTAATTGAGCTCAAAATTCCTGTTGCTAAGCGACACTGCCAAGTTTTGCTTCGTTTTATGACCTTTACAACAGTTGTTAAGTGGAATCAGGGCGGTTATTAAATACGTAAGTCAAGTCTGGCTTCCCCACTGACTTTGCTTGCCAGGAGGTGATCAAAGGGGATCACATGATCCTGGGACACAGCAACCGTCATAAATCTGGGCCAGTTGGCAAGCATCTGAATTCTGATCCCGTGACCACGGGAAGGCTGCAACAGTCATAAAGGTGTAAAACGGCCATAAGTCGCTTTTTTTCAGTGCAGTTACAACTTCCAAGGTCACTAAACGAGCAGTTATAAGTTGAGGACTAGCTCAACTTACGTGTAAATATAAATTGTATGTCTAAATATTCATATAAATACCCAGCAAGCGGCAGGGATCACAAAGCCTTGAAATTAGTCAATCAGGTAAAACTGTAACCAACATCCTAGTTGGGCTTTTTTTTTCACCCAGCCCAAACTGAAAACAAAGTCAGCATCGGGGACCTTCTTGGGTGGGTGTCCTTGGGATTAAAATCGTCCCGCTCTTCATCCCCTGTCTGGCCTTCAGATGGACAGAGGACTACCTTGACTCCACCCCAGTTGCATGAACCTCTGGCTTTTTAAAAGGCGCGTGATTCCATTTTCACTCCCGTTCCTTCTTCTTTTTCCAGATTTTTGACAAGCAGGGATTCCACGCCGGGACCCCGCCCCCGTTCAACTTGCCCTCCGCCCTCGGTTCCACGGGGCCTCTGAACCCAGGGACCGCTCCTGGCTATGCTCCGGCGCCCTTCCTCCATATCTTGCCTGCGCACCAACAACCACATTCCCAGGTGCTGCACCATCATCTTCAACAGGACGGGCAGGTGAGTGGCTGGATCCCTCTTGGTTGCCTGTAGACGGAGAGTTTTCTAACCCTGGTTTTCTTTCTGGTCCAATGGGTGATTTCAACATAGGAAGAGAAAGGGATCGAATTACAGGATTTGAGACCGGTGTCTGCTGCCACCTCTAGCTTGCTTGTGTTTTCGTTGCTCTGTGGGACAGACTGCCATGAACTGTGGGGAAGGGGGATGAAGGGGGGAGTGCTTGGGGAAGCGAAAGTAAGTTCTGTATCTCCTTGAGAGGCTGCCTCAAGGTTCCCCCAACTGGAAGGACAACTTGCCTGAACCTGATTGGCTACATGGAGTGGGCGATGAGAGACAGCTAAGGGAGGGAAGAGTGGTCACGCGATTCTCAGTTCTGGCTTTGCATGACTGCAATACACTTGACTAGTTGTGGCAGGCCTGACAGGGAGTAAGAACCGCCATTTTGGAAAACTCAGAAAACTTCCACGTTGTGTTGAGGAGGAAATTAAACCTAGGGTTATTCTAGTCTTCACCCTTTGCTCAGGACAGGAAACCATGGTAGGCCATCTAAAGATCTTGCTGGTTCTTCTCTCAGTTTTCTGCACCCATCAGCTCTCCATATTCATAACAGAGAGGAAGACCTGTGAAGCCTCTTCCTCCAAATCTGGTGGCTCTGCTTAGAGCAGTGGTTCTCAACCTTTTTAATGCCACGACCCCAACCGGTCGTAAGTCAAGGACTACTCAACTGGTGCAGCACCATTTGCAGAATGGGACTTTTGGCGGGCTCAGCAGGGCAGAGACAGCCTGGACAATTCCTATTGGCTTTTGAAAGCCAATAGAATTAGACTCTATTCAAGAGAGTCTATTCTATTGGCTTTCAAAAGCCAATAGAATAAAAGGGAGTAGCACAGCTAAGGAAAAGGGGGAAAAAAATGGCGGACTGTGTTGTTTGGCGACCTCCGTGAAATGGTCGTTCGACCCCAAATGGGGTCCCAACACACAGGTTGAGAACCATTGGGACAAGTTTCAGGATGTACCCACACTGCCATAATGCTCCAACACTGGAAGTTTTTAAGAAGAGATTGGACAACCATTTGTCTGAAATGGTATAGGGTTTCCTGCCTGAGCAGGGGGTTGGACTAGATGACCTCCGAGGTCCCTTCCAAGTCTGTTGTTCTGTTCTGTTCCATTCTGCTCCGCCCTATCCCATCCCATCCTATCCTAATTCTTCTCCATTAAGGGCATAGGATGACGCTCCACATGAATTGAAAATGCACCCTACAAGGTATCCATGCAGATGCTTTACCATCCAGGCCATGGTTGTCCCAAAGATTCTTTTTCCAAAAGGCAACTGGAATTTCTTGGGGTTTGATGTGAAAATGCTGCAGAACTGAAGAAGCTTCTTCAGAATGATACGAATTGGACGGAACTAATCCCCTGATCAAGCAGGAGATCCTATACCATTCCAGACAAGTGGTTGTCCAATCTCCTCTTAAAAGTGTCAAATGATGGAGCACCCACTTCTTAAGGCAGTGATGGCAAACCTTTTGGAGACTGAGTGCCCAAAAACCACCCTGCCCCGTTCCCCGCTCTACCCCACCGCCTCCATGGCCCGCCACAGGAGATCACCCAGGCAGCCCTGCAGTGCGATGGCCACGCCCTCCACCCGCACCCCACAGCATCATTGTGCGCGTGACGGAGCGTGAGGGTGGAGTCTTGTCCCCACTGCCATGTTCTTGGCTGTGTTGCTCTGTGCGGGCCACGCCCAGGGGCAACTCTCCTCTGAGGGGGTTGCTGGTGAGGAGGGGGCCACGGGAAGGCGGGGCTAGAGCGATGGCGCACGTGCCCACAGAGAGGGTGAATGCTGTCTCTGGCAAGCGTGCCATAGGTTCGCCAGCACTGTCTTAAGGCAAGGTTTTCCATTGGTTGATTGTTCTCACTGTCAGGAAATTTCTCCTTAGTTCTAGGTTGGTTCCATCCATTGTTTCTTGTCCTGCCTTCAGGTGCTTTGGAGAATAGGTTGACCCCCTTCTTCTTTGTGGCAGCCCTCAGATATTGTTCCACTGGTTAATTGTTCTAACTGTCAGGAAGTTTCTCCTTAGTTCTAGGTTGCTTCTCTCTTTGGTTAGTTTCCATCCGTTGCTTCTTGTCCTGCCTTCAGGTGCTTTGGAGAATAGCTTGACTCCCTCTTCTTTGGGGCAGCCCCTGAGATAGTGGAACACTCCTATCATGTCCCTCCTAATCTTTTTCATTAAACTTGACATACTCAATTCCTACAACTGTTCTTCATATATTTTTGCCTCGTCCCCTAATCATCCTTGTTGCTCTTCTCTGCACTCTTTCTAGAGTCTTAACATCGTTTTTATATTGTGATGACCAACGTTGGATGCAATATTCCACGTGCGGTCTTATCCAGGTATCAACAAAATGGTAATATCAACTTCTCGTCATCAAACAAAAGAAAAAAAAAAAGTGCGAGCAATTATCTTTTGGAAAAAGCACCTTTCAGACCTCCTTACAAAGTACCTAACTAACCTGCTGTAATCAACTTGGGGAATCATAGGAAAGAGGAAGACATTGTAAGAGAGAGAGAGCATCAGACCAGGGGCAGTTGAGGAACACATGGACCCAACAAATTTTATATAACTGTGAGAGGGATCTTGGAGTCCTAGTGGACAATCACTTAGATATGAGCCAGCCGTGTGCTGCAGCTGCCAAAAAAGCCAACATAGTGCTAGGCTGCATTAACAGAGGGATAGAATCAAGATCACGCGAAGGGTTAATACCACTTTACAATGCCTTGGTAAGGCCACACTTGGAATACTGCATCCAGTTTTGGTCACCGCGATGTAAAAAAGAGGCTGAGATTCTAGAAAGAGTACAGAGAAGAGCAACAAAGATGATTAGGGGACTGGAGACTAAAGCATATAAGGAATGGCTGCTGGAATTGGGTATGTCTAGTTTAAAGAAGAGAAGGACGAGGGGGGACACAATAGCAGCATTCCAGTATCTCAGGGGCTGCCACAAAGAAGAGGGAGTCAAGCTATTTTCCAAGGCGCCTAAGAAGCAACTGATGGAAACTAACTGAGAGAAGCAACCTAGAACTAAGGAGAAACTTCCTGACCGTTAGAACAATTAACCCATGGAACAACCTGCCTCCAGAAGCGGTGAATGCTCCAACACTGGAAGTTTTTTTTTAAAAAAATATTTGATTTATAAAACACCCAGAGGACATGAGTGCCCCCTTATATAAATAAAACCTTTCCCTCCGTTTCTCTGAAGGGTGGATCTGTCCAGCGCAACCAGCCAACCGTCCTGCAGCAGAAGTCTCAGGCTACGAAAAACACCTACGGGACATCTCCGTACTGGACGAACTAAGCTCTGGCGCAGAAGAAAGGAAGGGAGACAGTCTGGGTTAACTCAGGCTCCCACCCTCCACCGGAGGCCGTGGACGGTGGAGGGAAGAGACGCCCTGGGAGAGCTCAGCTCAGACACCCCGTGGGAAGAATTGGCAACCACTCCCCTTCTTTGTGATGCTTCCTGATTTGCTGTTTTATGTAAAATATTTATGTATGTATTTGTAAATGTAGTAGAGCCTAACGGGGGTTCCTGCATGTTTCCGATGACTTGTTTTTATTTTCTCCCTGATGGGGGGGACTAAGCAGATCAGCTCCCCGTCAGGCCCTCTGGCAGCTTCTCTCTCTCTCTTTGTATAGTTTGGAGGATTTTAGTGATTGTCCAAAGGACAAGAGTGTGCCACTTTTTAAAATATATACATAACACATATATCTCTTGGACCCTGGAAGCCTTTTCTGACTTTAAAAATAATACTTTGCTCAGGCAAGCAGTCAGAGAGAGACTCAAGAAGGACGGAGTTCTTTCCTGTTCCTTGTTTTTTTTTTAATAATAATAATGTTGGCTTTTTCCGAAGGGCCCCGGTTCCTTTGGCCCCATTCCTGCCTGCCAGACGGAAGGTTGAAGTCGTGGGCGGGCAGCCTACTTACAGATTGCAACGTTGCACTTTTCTCGGGACAGTTCAGAAATAAGCTTAAGGGTTATTTGTCTCCCTTCACTCCCATCTTCCAGTTTTGTTTTCGGTAGCCAGAGCTTGGACTGTCAGCTTCTCCCCAAATGGTGTCTGCCGATTCTGAGTTCCCTTTCCTTGACCTGGGCAGCCTCCTGCCTTCCATGGCCACGTTCTTCCTCCCGCTTGAGAGGGGCCCTAAGACTGAAGGGTGTGGATGGCAGAAAACTCCCTCTTGCCGTAATGAAGGTTTCAGAAATTTCATTTATTTTTTAGCCCAGACCCGCCTCTAATAAAGTTCTAAGCATATCAACAGTGTTTGCGGTCTCCGTTTTCCAACTGGCTTTGGTGGGTGGTTTGGTAACTGACCTCGCTTAAGACCATCCAACTCAGCATCAGCTCTCAGGAGCCCCATATGCCACTGCCAAAGGTGGAAGCCAACTTTTTTTTCCCCCTTTTTGGGTAGAAGTGAGTATACGGAGAACAGAAGCATTCTACTTCGTTGACCCAATAAAGTAGGCAGAAGAGAGAGGTCTCTTTGGTGGGTCTCCGAAGGTTCATGGTGGCATCTTGCTCATCTTGGGTGGATGGAGTTAGGGAAGGAGTTAATGCACAGGGATTGTTTCCTTGGGAAGACAGATTTATCAGTTTTCCACTGATATAGGGAACTTTCAGTGCTTCCAGACAAGAAGGTCTAGCACCAAGTGCCTCCAGAAATGGTAGAAGATAATTTCTCTGGATTATTGGCAATTCAAGAAACAACAACTACTACTACTACTACTACTACTATTGTCATGTTGGGAGTGCCACACTTCCGTGTCGAAAGGATTTCAATGGTGACATCACCGTTGCCTGGAGGGCTCCCAGTTGGGGTCTCCTTTCATGCCCCCATTAATTTGCGCACCAAAGTGGTACCCATTTATCTACTCGCAGTTGTCTGCTTTCAAATTGCTGGGTTGGCAGGAGCTGGAGCAAGTGACGGGAGCTCACTCCCGTCCCATGGCAGCAACCAGGTTTTGCACGTGAGCCTGCCAATTGTCAGCCCAACGTCTTAACCTCATGAGCCGCCGCACCCTTCCATTTAAGCAGCAGCAGATCAGTTCTGGGACTTGGCCTGGGGTGGGAAGCTTCTGGTGATCCGAAAGTCATGAGGCTTTTCAAGTAATGGACTGCAACAACAGACAGAGGGAACTAACCTACAATGGCCGATGAATCCTCTGGACTATTACTGTCTCAGAAACCACTAGGGTTTCTGAGAAAATGGAGAGTTATCAGATTGATTCTGGAGGGGATCAGCTTCCTTCTCATACCCTTAGGCAACCTATGCAGCATCCTGAATTTCCTTCCACCGTCATCCAGTGTCCTCTTTGCTTTCCTTGCCAGGAGCCACTAACGTGGCAAATGTTTATCTTGATGCCAAGCTATATAATGTCATAAACTCAAAAGAGCACCAGAACGTAACTGCTTCACTCGTTCCCTTTTTGCCATTTTTGGCTATTGCTTTGTTTGACTTGGCTAGTGTAGTGGGACTGGCCCAAAGGCTTTGCGGGAGCCTGACTGGAGGGAGAAAAGGGCAAGGCTCGAGCAGCTGCAGCCGGTTTGGGCACAGGCGTGGACCGTGGAGAAGCAAAGGGGAAGGAGAAAGGGATGGAGTGGTTGTTGCCGGGGAGAGACCAGGTGAAGCAAAAGAGTTTGGGGTTTTATGCCTTCCCTTTCTTTGAAATGGAGGGATAGGGAGAGAGAGCGAGTGGAGTTTTACTGCTTTCTTCCACAGAGGGGATATTCCGAACAAAGGGAAGAGTGAGAGTGAGAAAAGGGAAAGTTTGCTGGGGTTTTAAACTTAGGTTTTAACTAGAAGGGAAAGGGGAGGGGGAATTTGGGATAGAGAGGCCTGGAGGGACGAGTGCCGACAGAAGAGGAGACGCTAGTTGCTACTGCTTCGGAGACCAGCGGCCATCTGAACTTTGGTTATTATCACTTGTGCAAGCTGAAGACATTGTGGGGAGTTGCCCTCGTGGGGCGAGTTGTTGCCGTGGGGTGCTGACTATCTTCGCTATGCTTCCTGCTGCTGCCTGGAACCGAAGGGTTTCCCCTCCCCTCTTTGCTTTCCAAGCGACTGTTGCAAGTCATCGATTACTGTCCCCTCCGACTGCCGGGAGGCTGATAAACACTGTCGCACACTGACTGCCATGGCTAAGAGGCAGCCATCGTCGTTCCTGCAAACTCTGCTGATGGCGAGAACCGTGAGCTCCTGCTAAAAGGGACATTCCACCAATGCCTTGAGAGCGCAGCTGTCAGGTGCAATAGAAGGGAGGGGACTAGGAGGGCCTGGACTCTGGTGGCCCCTGAGGGGATAACACTACACATGGGGGCTCATCCGGAATTCCCTGCCTGGCCCCTCCGTATTTAGTAAGGGGGCTGTTGGTCTCACATGGAGATATGAGCCGGGTCAACAAAATGGACCCCATCACGGTTATTAGGTGGTGCGAAGAGCAGAATAATGAAATAAGGACGAGCGTAGTAATTGGGAGTTCCTGGTGATGTTTGGTCAGAAGAGCGAATTTTACAGATATTGAGGGTCCTTATTCCGGATCAGAGGGTGTACGTGATAGACACGAGGGTGGATCGGGATTCCCCCCCTCCACCCATTTTTATGCATTGCTGGAATGGAAGAAGAGTATTCCAGAGTGCTTTCAGGTTGAGAATCTGCAATTGACAGAAGAGAATCCTCAATTGACAGAAGATATTAGAGCAAGGGTGATTCTTCCGATTGTGTGGGGTGCACCCTCAACTAAACTATTAGGCCAGGAGAAACGTGCTTCCTTACCCGCAGGGACAACAGAAGCAGAGTTTACTCAGGCTGGGGGAAGCCTGGCTTCCATCCAAATCCTGATGGGGGGGCTATTGCATAGGGGCTGGATATAGGAAATTATGTACTTTCTCCGGGATGCAACTGGTGCAGACGGGGAGAAGGAGCAGGTGCCTCCGGGGGTGGAGAGCTGCGGGAGGATGGCGGCCGCGATATTGCGAGTCTAAAGTACAGAGGCCAAGGCGGGTGATACATCTGGTGAAGAGATTAACATACGATGCTCCGGGTCACAGCATAGGGAGAGTGATGCCCTCTGCGAGATGGTTGACTCACCCCTGGACAATATAGATGCTCAGTAGAAAACCTGCTATTCTTTGGGGGACCAAACTTTTTAGGTGTAGCGGGGCTGGCCAAAAGGCTTTGCGGGAGCCTGAGGGGTAACGCTACACTAGCAACGATTGGGATCGGCTGCTGTGGTCCAGCTTAAATTTCGTTTCAACTACAGTAGTTTTCAACTAGCCATGCAAGGAAAAATACTGACTTTGAGCCTAATGGCTAGAAGCTGTGAAACCCACAATATCGGTCAAAAAGCTAGCAGGGGCCTTCAGTGATAATCGTTCCAATTTAAAACTGCAAACCCTTTTTAATCTGATGGTTATCTTAGGAATGACGATCCTGTGTCTTGGCTGCCATTTTCACTGAGTAGGTTAACAATAAGAGTTGGAGGGGACCTTGGAGATCTTCTAGCCCAACCCCCTGCTCAGGCAGGAAACCCTATACCATTTCAGACAAATGGCTGTCCGATCTTTTCTTAAAAACCTAAGAGTTGGAGCACCAACAACTTCTGGAGGCAGGTTGTTCCACTGATTGATCTCACGGTCAGGAAATTAATTAGTTCCAGGTTGCTTCTCCCCTTGATTAGTTTCCATTCGTTGCTTCTTGTCCTGCCTTCAGGTGCTTTGGAGAATAGGGTGACCCCCCCATCTTCTTTGTGGCAGCCCCTCAAATATTGGAAGACTTCCAATAGATCCATGATGGCACAGTGGTTAGAATGCGGTATTGCAGGCTAACCCTGCTCACTGTCAGGAGTTCGATCCTGACCGGCTCAAGGTTGACTCATCCTTCCAAGGTCGATAAAATTAGGACTCATATTGTTGGGGGAACAGGTTGATTCTGTAAACTGCTTAGAGGGGGGCTGCAAAGCACTCTGAAGAGGTATTTTAAGTGCCATTTGGTATATCATCCCTAGTCCTTCGTTAAACTAGACATACCCAATTCCAGCAATCCTTCTTTTATGTTTTAGCCTCCAGTCCTGTAGTCATCTTTGTTGCTCTTCTTTGCACTCTTTCTAAAGTCTTTCTAGAGCAGTGGTTCTCAACCTTCCTAATGCCGCAACCCCATAATACAGTTCCCCATGTTGTGGTGACCCCCAACCACTTATACATCACCGGGTGCCAGGGGCGTGGCCAAAGAAAAGGGGGAAAAAATGACGGACAGCCTTGTTTGGCGACCCCCGTGAAATGGTCGTTTGACCCCAAATGGGGTCCCGACCCACAGGTTGAGAACCACTGTTCTAGAGCAGGAGTGTTAAACTGCTGGCCTGCCGGCCAGGCGCATCACACACAAGCTGCGCCCACCCCATTGCCAATGGCAAAACTGTCCCGATATGTTGCGTGCCATCACATGACGTCGCGAGTTTGACATATCTGTTCTGGAGTGTTTTTTCTTCTGATGTTACCCTCCCTTCCCATCTGACCCATCGCTTGAATATTCTGGCCTGTGACTCTACTGCAAAGAAACTGAGGTAAATAAAAAGTAACCTGGAAGCCATGGATCCATTTTGCTACCATGGCCAAATAAAATAAGCAGACATGATTAAAAGTGGCCCCGCAAGTAACATTATCCAGCCAAGCTTGGCTGCTCGCAGAAAAACTAAACTATGATGGAGACCAGGAAATTCAGGACTAAATGCCATTGGAAAGTTTGGAAAAAAAAAATCTCCCTGAAGAATTCCCCCCCCCCCCCGATTTGAAAACTGATTAATTTGTAAATTAAACCAGAAACCCAACATGGGTGCGTCCTACATTTGGGTGCTGAACTCAAGGAGGGCGTCTTTGGTGCCTAAAAGATATTTGCTTTTAATTCTATTCATAGAATGTTTTAACTTATTTGCTTAAAATACCCCATGTTTTGCATTCTCATAGTACAATAAACCTCCTACCAATCGAACATGCTGGACTTGCAGGATACCGAGATGGAAGTAAGTCCTTGACTTACAACCATATGCTTGATGATCATTCTAAATTACAACTACAATTAAGGCCAACATTCCTGTTGCTAAGCGAGACAGCTATTAAATAAGTCCCCCCCCCCGTCTTTCTTGCTACAGTTAAGTGAATCATTACAGCGTTGTCACACGGTTAAGTGACTCTTGGCTTCCCCATTGACTTGGCTTGTTGGGTTGCAAAAGGGGGAGTCACATGACCATCATAAGTATGAGCCAGTTGGCCAAGTGTCTGAATTTTGATCACGTGACCATGGAGTTGCTGTTAACAGTCATAAGTGTGAAAAACAAGTCATAAGCCACTTTTGTCAGTGCCGTTGTAACTTTGAATGATTGTTAAACGAATGGTTGTTAAGTCGAGGACTACCTCCAAGTAGTGCCCACAAACCTTTTGCAACCAGCTTAATAAAGCACGCAGGGCCAAGGATCTTCCTTTGCAACTCAGGATGTAGGTTCCAACCAGCAGCCTTCAGACTCGGGCTAATTGCTCTTTGGTCGGCAATATTTCCATGCAGGTAAGACTAAAGGAGGACGCTGCAGAGCGAATGGCTTGAAAAAGTTTGAGATTGACCCACTCACGGCTAAGAGTCAGCAATTATTATTTTCCTGGGGAGAGCCCTTAAAAAGCACAAAAGCTGGTTAAAAGGCTGATGAAACACAACAGACATTCAAAGTTGTGAGGGTGTGTGTGTGTGCAGGAAGAGAATCAATCAAGCCTTTTGCATGTGCGTGCACGTGTATGTTTGTATACAGATAATGATATAGGTAGACAGATGACAGATAAACATAGATGATATACACAGATATAGATGATATATAGATGATATAGACCAGTGGTTCTCAACCTGTGGGTCAGGACCCATTTGGGGTCGAATGACCATTTCACGGGGGTCGCCAAACAACGCAGTCCGCCATTTCCCCCCCCCCTTTTCCTTAGCTGTGCTATTCCCTTTTATTCTATTGGCTTTTGAAAGCCAATAGAATAGACTCTCTTGAATAGAGTCTAATTCTATTGGCTTTCAAAAGCCAATAGGAATTGTCCAGGCTGTCTCTGCCCTGCTGAGCCCGCCAAAAGTCCCATTCTGCAAACGGTGCTGCACCAGTTGAGTAGTCCTCGACTTACGACCGGTTGAGTAGTCCTCGACTTACGACCGGTTGGGAGTCGCAGCATTAAAAAGGTTGAGAACCACTGATATAGACACAGGCAGATCACATAGACAAATATAGATGATAGATCACAGATTAGAGATGACAGATAGATGATATATATAGACGATAGATCGATAGATAGACAGATAGAGACAATAAACAGAGATGATAGAGACAGAGTTTTGGACTACAAAACTGATTTTTTTGATCTCAGGAATCGGACAGAATCAGAGCCAATTTCCTTGAAGAACGTTAAAACGTCCACGGGCAAACTGCCCTGCAAGCAAAGCCTGCATGAATCCACAAACAGCTCCTCCGTTTGTGCAGTTTGTGGTGGTTCCCATGCAACCAAGGTATTTGCAATGCAGACCCCCGAGAACTGAGGGAACCCAGTAGGCGTATCGGTAACAGGAGCCTTGCACAGCTGGAGATAGCAACGTCTTGAGAACCTTTACAGCCCGTCAGCAAACCAAACGTGGCTTTTGAACATGCAACCAGCAAGAAGAGCGATAACTGTATTCCACATTTTATTAGTAGACAGGTGTGCAGAAAAACCAAAACTAAATTACCAAAAGGAGAGACAACACAAAAGAGAGGAGGAAAAAACAAAAAAAACAAAACCGGCATTTGTTAACCTGGTCTAAGGGTGTTGAACCAACCAAAGGGGTAGAAGAGAACGAAAGAAGAAATACCTAGAATTTCAGCGCTGAAAAATTTACCCAGAGAATTCTAGTGTGCTCCTTGCTGGTTTCAGAACAGGTTAGGAACTGCATCTGATTTTATTTCACGTTCTTTTTCAAATCAGAAAAATGTAAACGCAGACAAAAGGCAGAAGAGGAGAGAGAGAAAGAGAGAGAACCAGGCTACTGATGGCTCAAGTAAACATTTGTCCTCAATCTCTTGAAGCTGCATTTCAGTCGGTTTGGATCCTGAACGGGAAATTAGCAAGTTGCTAAGCCAGAGAGGCTGCTGGATGGGAGGAGAAACAGCCCTGGCTGGCTGGCTGGCGGGATGGGGTTCCCCTTCCCTGCCCCCCTAAAAACGTAGGCCAAGGGAAGGACAAATAATGCATCTCGCACACCACCAAGCTTCAGCATACAAGTCACTGGAGGGAATACAGTGAACACGGTCAAAATACAAGGAAAGACAGCTGAAAGACGCAGCATCTTCATTGCAAGCCCAGCCAAGGACACCAATGCAGAACCCAGCACGGACAGAGACCCCCCCCTCCCTCCTCCTGGAGAACCCCATTCAAGGACTGACATTTGGGGGATGCCTGTTGCAACAGCTCCCATTCTCCACTCGTGCACTTTTCAGAGTAAACAAGAGTTTTTAGGAGTTCCTCTCGCAGGAGGGAATGGAAAATAAAACAAAGATTGTCCAAAGCTGGGCTCTTTGCAACCGAACGTTACGCATTTTGATTGTTCTGTCCACCATCGTCGCTTCTTCTCATTCGTTTCTTTTTTCTTCTTTTCCAAATTGGGCGGCCGTCCCGAACAACCCTCCTCATCCAACAGGGGGAGCCCCCCAGAGTTCCCCCTCTTTTCCACCAGGGGGCCGGAAGCAAAATTGAAGGGCTCAAGTTGCTCAAGGTCACAAGCATCTCTGGTTCTGAAGCTCCATCCAACCTCAAGAAGACCCCAAAATTGAAGCTCTGGGTTGAAGAAGGCCCTTCCCAGCTAATATCCTGAGAGACCCCCCCCCCCCAAGGGCCAGGCTCAGAAATCGGGTGGAAGAAATGTAAAGCTGGCGTTTGAAGGAGAAATGCACAATTCCTTGATGGGTGTCTTGTCCCATCTTACCATTTCCTGCCTTTGATGGATGGGAAAGGGGTGGGTGGGTGTCTAGCACGGGGGCACCCTGCAAAAAGTCCGCTAGCCTTCGCCGATTTCCCTCGAGACGGTCACTGTTGAAATGATTTTGAACATCTTGCCCTCATCCTCAAAAGCATTGAAGTCTTGGGGAACCTTTCCATCCAGGCAATTGATTGATGGACCTGCCAAGGGAGCTGCCGCTCCTACAGCATCAGGTCCAGCGCCCAGAAAGAAATACAAGCGACACCCCCCCCCGAAGACTGCCTGCCGGTCCCCCCTTTCTAAACCCCGATGTGCTGGCTGAGGAATTCTGGGAGTTGAAGCCCACAAGTCTTAAAACGTTACCCAGCGTGGAGAGCCCTGGTCTAAGACATGCTTTTGGGCAACTGCCCTCTACCTATCCAGCCCCAAGGATGCTCGCTTCTTCCACAGAAAGCCGCTGGATCTCCCGAAGGGAAGCCACGTTCCAGATCTCGTTCTGACCTCGTCTTTAACGACGCTGCTCACTCTCTGCCATCTGGGGGGGGGGGAGAGATTCAGCCGCTCCCTTGATGCATCCTTTGCAACTCGGGACAGGAAACGGTGCAGTGTTTCAAAGTGTTTATTGGAAGATTCATATCACAAGACAACTGCCCCCCCCCCATCCCCGCTCTCCCCCACCCGGACAGTTCCCCCCCACTGCCTCTCGATCTGCCCGTGGAGCTTTCCGCCCTCCCTGCCGGGCTGCTAATCCCACTCGCCCATCATCCTGACGGGAAATTGAAATAAGGGGGGGGGGCGTTTTCAACCACCAGTTCCAAAACACAGAAGCTTTGCGCCCTCCGCTCGCCGCCTTGGGGAAAGAGGGAAATCTAACAAAAAAAGGAGAAAAAAAAAACCAAAAACAACCAGCAGCAGAACCACCACGAGGCTAAACAAGTGCGCATAGAAGGAGCAGCAAAGAAGCCTCCGGAAGGAAGGAAGCGGGGGGGGGGGGACTCTACACAGCTCGCGGGGAGCATTTTCCCCCCTTCTCCACGGTCTCTGCCGGGCGTTAAAATACATCCAAACCTCTTGATGAAAGATTGGGTTTAATTCGAGAACCTAAACAACAGAGCAAGCCTGTTTTGCTGTGCTGTGAACTCTCCGGAAGAGGGGAAGGGAGGGGGAGCAGGGGGAGGGTACTGTCTTTAAAAAAAAATGGGGGGGGAGAGGGGAGGGAATCAAAAACACAGTGATGGGACGGGAGAGGAGGTGCGATCCAAGATCATCCACCAAGATCATCCACCGCAGGTCTTTCTCGCTAGGGAGGCCAAAGAACAAGGAAGTTTGGGGGGGGGAGGAACCAAATCGAGACTCCGTACGAGAAGAGAAAGCAGGAAACGCACGTTTTGCATGGGGTCTTCTTCCTCCCCCCCTGCCCCCCCTTGTAGGTATATATCTCTTTTTCTTCTTCTTCTTCTTTTTTGCTGAACGGTCATTGGATTTACTGCTGTGCCCTCCCCCCCCTCTGGCAAAACCGGCGGGGCAGTACAATACGGGGTGGTGTTTGGGGGGGGTGTGTGTGGGGTGGAAGGGAGGGCCAGAGGGGACAGGTCACGACTCCTCGTTGCCGGAATCATCGTCGTCGTAACAATCGGCGTCTTCCTCCTCCTCCTCCTCGTCCTCGTCGTCAATGTCGTCGTCGTACAGGTCGTCATAAAGCAAGTCGGAGCTGCTGTCGTTGGAAGGCACTTTAGTTTTGATGCAGTACTCGGCCAGCGTGGTGGGCACCTTCACACCGTCCTTCTCCGCTTCCGCCTTGGTGGCCTGCACTTGTTTCCTGCAAGGGAGGGGGGCAAGGGGAAGTTAGGGGAGGTCAGCCTCCTCACCCGCCCACACCCCCCCCGATGCCCATCCCCTCCGCCTTTGACATGCTGTACCCAAATCTCCCTTGCAAGCCATCACTCCATCTTGGGTCCCAGCAAATGAGCAACAGCCACAGTGCTTAGACTTATATGCTGCTTTTTAGGGCCTTTAACAGCCCCTCTCTAAGCGGTTGACAGAGTCAGCATCTTGCCCCCAGCAATCTAGATCCTCATTTTACCGACTTTGCAAGGATAGAAGGCGGAGTCAACCCTGAGCTGCTCAGAATCGAACTGCTGGCAGTCGGCAGAATTAAAATACTGCATTCTAACCTCGGTGCCACCAGGACACACTCTCTCTCTCATCTTTCTTTCTTTCTATCTATCTATCTATCTATCTATCTATCTATCTATCTATCTATCTATCTATCTATCTATCTATCTATCTATCTATCTATCTATCTACCTACCTACCTACCTACCTACATCTATCTATCTACCCTATTTACCCTATCTACCTAACTACCATCTACCTACCTACCTACCTATGATCTATCATCTATCATTACTCTCTCTCTCTCTAATCATTTATCTATCTATAACAATAGTAATAGCACTTAGGCTTATATACCATTTCACAGTGATTTACAGCCCTCTCTAAGCGGTTCAGAGTCCGCATCTGGCCCCCAACAGTCTGGGTCCTCCTTTTACCAACCTTGGAAGGTTAGAAGTCTGAGTCAACTCCCTAAGCTGGTCAGGATCGAACTCCTGGCAGTTGGCAGAATCCTCCAAGCCATGCTTTGGTCCAACTGACCAAATGCTGAAGGGAGCTGGACCTTAGTGGCTGTGCCTGGCAGCCTATAGTGCCCCATTGCCTCTGAGCTTGTTGGTTTTCCTGCAGACGTTTCATGACCCAAAGTAAGTAACATCAACGGTAGAAGCCCCCCGCCCTTCTAGCACTGGTGATGTTAGCCACTTGGGTCACGAAACGTCTGCAAGGAAACCACTAAGCTCAGAGAGCACCCAAGGACCCGTCAGATCAAAAGGGCTCCCCTTCTCCACCAGCTGCTGCCTTCTTGGGCTTACCGGATGATTTCCGCATATTCTTTGTCTTTCCCTTTGCTGTCTCTCCATTTCCTGAACATAACGGAGGCGTCCACATTTGCCGGAGAGAATGTGTTGGGCTCATTAAGCAAGGAGATTACACTCAGCAGGATAGTCCTGGAGGAAGCGAGAGGAGCAGAAGCTGAAGTCAGAGCCCACATAGCAGAAGAACAGAGTTGGAAGGGACCTTGAAGGCCATCTAGTCCAACCCCCTGCTCGAGCAGGAGATTCTATACCATTCTAGACAAATGGTTGTCCAATCCCTTCTTAAAAACCTCCAGTGATGGAGAACCCACAACTTCTGAAGGCAAACCGTTGCACTGGTTAATTGTTCTCTCTGTCAGGAAATTTCTCCTTAGTTCCAGGTTGCTTCTCTCCTTGATTAGTTTCCATCCGTTGCTTCTTGTCCCGCCTTCAGGTGCTTTGGAGAATAGCTTGACTCCCTCTTCTTTGGGGCAGCCCCTGAGATATTGGAATACTGCTATCATGTCCCCCCTTGTCCTTCTCTTCATTAAACTAGACGTAACCAATTCCACCAACCGTTCCTTATATGTTTTAGCCTCCAGTCCCCTAATCATCTTGGTTGCTCTTCTCTGTACTCTTTCTAGAGTCTGAGCAACTTTTTTACATCGTGGTGACCAAAACTGGATGCCGTATTCCAAGTGTGGCCTTACCAAGGCATTGTAAAGTGGTATTAACACTTGACGTGATCTTGATTCTATCCCTCTGCTAATGCAGCCCAGCATTGTGTTGGCCTTTTTGGCAGCTGCAGCACACGGCTGGCTCATATTTAAGGGATTGTCCAGTGGGACTCCGAGGTCCCTCTCACAGTTACTACTATTGAGCAAGGTACCCCCTATACTATACCTGTACATTTGGTTTTTCTTGCCTAAACGCAGAACCTTAATTTTCCTCACCACTAAACTGCATTTTGTTGGATAAGAGGGGCATTTGTCCTCCATCCAAGACTGTGCAGTTGCATTTTCGGCTTGGGGGGGGGGAGCAGGGCCCCCATTTTTTCTTGGTTTTCCTAGATCTGTCCTGAAGGTAGAAGTCCTGGGAAGATGGGCATTTATCTTGCTAGCCAAGCTGTCTTCTGGTGGGAAGAATCCTTGAAAAGGGTCATATTGGGGGGGGGCTTCATTATTCTCCCCCTCAGTTTATTATTTTTCTTAATAGTCCTCAACTTATAACAATTCATTTAGTGACCGAAGTTACACCGACACTGAAAAAAGTGACTTATGACCATTTTTCACGCTTACGGCCGTGGCAGCGTCCCTGTGGTCATGTGATCAAAACTCAGATGCTTGGCAACTGATTCATATTTATGACGGTTTCAATGTCCTGGGGTCATGTGATCCCTTTTTGAAACCTTTTAACAAACTCAACAGAGGAACCAGATTCATTTAATAACCTGGTTACTAACTTATCAAACACAGCGATTCACTGAGCAGCTATGGCAAGCAAGGTCATAAAGCGGGGCAAAGCTCCCTTAACAAAATGTTTCACTTATCAACAGAAATTTTGGGCTCAACTGTGGTGGCGGGGTGAGGATTACCTGCCATTCAGCCTGCTGAAATACGCTTTTTTTCCAAGGGGAAAAATTACGTCCAAATGGAATCTTAACTGTCAATTTTGCAAAATGGCGTTTCACGGTTGAAGTTTTTAGAATCCTATCCAGAAGGGCCGCAGCGCTCAGGCTGTTGTGCAGCGTGCCAACCCAGTTTAGCCGAGAACGGCAAAATGAATTAGTTGTAATGCTTTGCAGCTTTTTCTCTCTTTTTCAGCAAATACCCTCTATCTTACCTCAGTGAGCCTGGCGTCTCTGAGGCGGCAGGGCCAAGGTCAGCGATGGCGAACCTTTCAGAGACCGAGTGCCGAAAAACCGCCCCGCTCCCCGCCCGCAGGGCCACCCACCACCTCCATGGCCCGTCGCAGATTGCCCAAGCGGCCCTGCAGCACCGTGGCAGCCACGCCCTCTGCCCACACCCCGTAGCATCATTTGTGCGCGACGGGGCGCAAAGGCGGAGTCTTGTCCCCGCTGCCTGGCTGCCATGTCCTTGGCTACGCTGCTCCATCCGGACTGCACCTGGGGGCGACTCTCCTCCGGGGGGGGGGGGCTGCTGGTGAGGAGGGGCCACGGGGGGAGGTGGGGCTGGTGTGATGGTGCATGTGTGCCCACAGAGAGGGCTCTGAATGCCGCCTCTGGCACGCGTGCTCTAGGTTCCCCACCCCTGGCCAAGGTGAACTTCAATGGTGATTTGGATTAATTTTTTTGAATGGCAGGTTAGGGGCTGTAAACACGGGGGTGAGGTGGAGGGGGGGCCTCCCTGGACCCTAGAAGTAGTTCTCGCCTTACAACAGTTCATCCAGGGACCGTCCCAAGTTACAACGGCACTGGGAAAAAGCGACGTAGGACCATTTTCTACACTTACAACCCTCGCAAGCATCCCCACGGTCGTGTGATCCAACTTTGGGTGCTTGGCAACCGACTCACGTTTATGACGGTTGCAGTGTCCCGGGGTGGTGTGATCCCCTTTTGCGACCGTCTGACCAGCAAAGTCAATGAGGTAAGTTAGATTCGCTTAACGACCGCGTGACTATCTGTTTAACGTGTGCGGTGATTCACTTAATAACCGTGGCAAGACGGGTTGTACACTGGGGCAAAATTCACTGAACGACCATCTCCCTTAGCAAATTGTGGGCTCCATTGTGGTCGTAAGTCGAGGACTACCTGTACTCTTGGTTGCGTAGGAAGAAATCCTCCATCTCGGAGGGCCTTACCTGACATTCTGGGTTGGGTTCCACCGTTCCGATGGCAATTCTCCACTTTGAGGATCATCTACAGGTGGGTGAAGAATTGAAATACATACATCCCCATTCTACGAAAGGAAAAATGAGTGGGGTGGGGGGGTATGAAGAGAGACAACTAAGTTAAACTATGCAGCAAACAGACCGCTCATAAACATCCACCCCCAGCTCTGCCTATTTCCTAAAGATCAAGTGTAAACTTCTTTCACTTCAAGCAAGGCACACAGATTGCTATACAATCAGATAAGACAGTGGTTCTCAACCTGTGGGTTGGGACCCCATTTGGGGTCGAACAACCATTTCATGGGGGTCGCCAAACAAGGCTGTCCGCCATTTTCTCCCCTTTTCTTTGGCCACGCCCCTGGCACCCGGTGATGTATAAGTGGTTGGGGGTCATCACAACATGGGGAACTGTATTATGGGGTCGCGGCATTAGAAAGGTTGAGAACCACTGAGATAAGATAAGATAACCTTTATTGTCATTTTTTTTACTGTGGGCACAGTGGCACACATCAAAAACTAAATTTAGTTGCCCGCTCTCAAAGTGAAACACATACATGACACAACACCTAAACATACTATGTACAACATATATATATAGACCCACATCCCTACATATACGTAGCAAATAAATATTAAATACTGTCCATCTTGAATATATAACGGAAGGAGGAAACTCACACACACACACACTCACACACACACATACACACACACAAACTCAGTAGCTAAGAGCTGTAAATCCCAACACATCTGGGGCTTACAGTACCTTACAGAACTCAAATGTGGCTTTTCAGTCGCAGTGAGAATGGAGCTGGATGGGACCTTGGAGGTCTTCTAGTCCAACAACTTGTGGAGGCAAGTCACTCTACTGGTTAATTGTCCTCATAGTTAGGAAGTTTCTCCTTAATTCCAGGTTGTTCTCTTTGTAGCTCTATCCTCTATGGAGGCTTCTCTACCTTTACGTAACACTTATTCTCTTTCTTCGGCCCCAGCGTTATTAACACACTAACCCTAGGTTTAATTTACTTCATTTACGCCAATTAATTCCACCAGGGGGAGCCAGAGCTCTCACTGAGAAGCCCCAGCTGCCAGCCCTGACTTAGAACTGGATCTCCTCCACAAGCAGATTCCCCCAGATCCAAGGTAAACATCTCCCACTTCCTTTGGCCAACAGATTAGAAAGAGAGCCCTCTGCTATTATCCATGGGGGAGAAGCCGCTGGCTCGCTGGCTGGCAGTCTGGATTCTGGGTTTTGCTTTGAAGTTTGCCAGCCTGCAGCAGAATTTAAAGGATATACCTCCGATTCTGCAGAACCAATCCCATTTTAACTCTCAACACCTGATCCCAGGGATCTATTCTTTCTTTCTTTCTTTCTTTCTTTCTTTCTTTCTTTCTTTCTTTCTTTCTTTCTTTCTTTCTTTCTTTCCTTCTTTCTTCCTTCCTTCCTTCCTTCCTTCCTTCTTCTTTCTCTCCCTCCCTCCCTTCCTTCCTTTCCTCCCTCCCTCCCTCCCTCCCTCTCTGTCTTTCTTTCTTTTGGTGCTAAAGCTATAGGAGAGTTTCAAAAAAGGACGGAGGCTCTTCTCCAAAGCATCAGAAGGCAGGACAAGAAACAATGGAGGGAAACTAATCAAGGAGAGAAGCAACCTGGAATTAAGGAGAAACTTCCTGACAGGGAGGACAAGTAATCAGTGGAAAAGCTTCTCTCCAGAGGTTGTGGGTGCTCCAACACTGGAGTTTTTAAGAAGAGCCTGGACAACCACCTCTGAGATGGTATAGGTTCTCCTGCTTGAGCAGGGGGTTGGACTAGAAGACCTCCAAGGTCCCTTCCAGATTCTATTCTATTCTATTCTAGCCTATCCTATCCTATTCTTATTCTATTCTATTCTATTCTATTCTATTCTATTCTATTCTATTCTATTCTATTCTATTCCATTCCATTTTTTCTTTTCTATTCCATTCCATTCCAATTTCTATTCCATTGCATTCCATATTCTATTCTATTCCATTCCATATTCCATATTCTATTCTATTCCATTCCATATTCTATTCCATATTCTATTCTATTCCATTCCAATTTCTATTCCATTCCATTCCATATTCTATTCTATTCTATTCCATTCCATATTCTATTCTGTTCTTTTCCATTCCAATTTCTGTTCTATTCCATTCCATATTCTATTCCATTCCATATTCTATTCTATTCTATTCCATTCCAATTTCCATTCCATTCCATTCCATTCCATATTCTATTCTATTCCATTCCATATTCTATTCTATTCCATTTCATATTCTGTTCTATTCTATTCCATTCCAATTTCTATTCCATTCCATTCCATATTCCATTCCATTCCATTCATTCCATTCCATTCCACTCCACTCTATTCCATATTCTATTCTATTCTATTCTATTCTATTCTATTCTATTCTATTCTATTCTATTCTATTCTATTCTATTCTATTCTATTCCATTCCACTCCATTCCACTCCACTCCACTCCACTCCATTCTATTCGTTCCTGTTCCTCCTATTCCTGGGCCACAGCTCCATATCCCCCTGCTAGGATGAGAGTTTTCTGCTAAGAAGAAGATCGCAGAAGCTGCTCCTTGGGCTGCAAAAGGCCCTTTCTGGATTTCTCCTTTCCACACTTCTGAAGGAAGGCTGTGGAAATCCAGAGAGAGCCCTGCCAAAAGAGACTCCATTCTCACTTGCTCTCCACTCATCCCCTTTTCAGGGAAGAAGGAGAGGAGCCAAGAGCTGGGAGTCGCAAAGGGACAAACCTGCCCTGGAGTTCCAGCTTTGCAAAGAACGTTGGTGCTGCAAGGTTTTTTTTTTAAATGGCACCCACGCCAGGTGCTCAGTCAACCTACCTCATAAATGTTCGGATGCCACATTTTGGTCAGAAATCTGAAGGTAGGTGGTGAATATGGGTAATCCATAGGAAATTTAATATGAGCCTGAAAGAGAGGAACAGGGAGCATTTATTAAGCGGAAATAGAAGAGATTATCTGTAGCTCAAGGTTGGATTGTGGGGGTGCTTGGTGCTCTCTGAGCTAGGCTGTTTCCTTGCAGACGTTTCAGGACCCGACTAGGTAACATCATCCATGCTAGAAGGGAGTGGAGTTTGTGGGGAGGAGGAAAAGGAGGAGGAGGACTGTGGGGTCCTGGGTGCTCTCTGAGCTTGGCTGTTTTCTTGCAGACGTTTCATGACCCAACTAGGTAATATCATCAGTGCTAGAAGGGAGTGGAGTTTATGGGGAGTAGTAGTAGTAGTAGTAGTAGTAGTAGTAGTGTGGGGTCCTTGGTGCTCTGAGCTGGGCTGTTTTCTTGCAGACGTTTCACGACCCGACTGGATAACATCATCCATGCTAGAAGGGAATGGGGCTTGCGGAGAGGAGGAAGACATGGGATCCTTGTGACTTGGTTTTCTTGTAGACATTTCATTATCCAACTAGATAACATATGTGGTAGAAGGGAGTGAGGTTTGTGGAGAGGAAGAGGAGGAGGATTGTGGGGTCCCTGGTGCTTCCTAAACTTGGTTGTTTCGTTGCAGATGTTTTACGGCCCTATTAGGTAACATCAACACTAAGATTAATACCACGCTATCAATCAAGCAGTAAACAATATCCCAATCAAGCAACTACCAACTCAGACAAACAAGCTAACGGTCAACAACAGCCTAATCAAGGCACCACCAAGAAGGAAGCAACACTCCCAACAACAGTGACAGGGCAAACCACTAGTATATAAACAGAGAGCAAACCCCACACTCCCTTCTAGCCCTGATATTGTTACCTAGTTGGGTCATGAAACGTCTGCAAGAAAGCAACCAAGCTCAGAGGAGGCACACCAAAGACTCCATTTATTAAACACCACTCTACAACTGAACAGATGGGTTTGCCTTTTCCGGCTTCGGAGTCAACACCAGGCTACGTTTCCACAATATACTTGACCTGCTCAGGAATTCAACCTTTTCTCTGGGTTTGCACAATCCACCGACTTGTGTAAATCAAACAGCCTGGATGCCCACGAGAGCTAAGCCACAGAAGTCTCTCTGAAGCCCCCTTACATTGTGTAAACGCAACTGTTGGTTTTGAACAAAAGGATTCAGCAGAGAATTTTAGCGACCTTTCATGGGCTCCTAAAAATCAGTAGAAAAATACTTTTTGGGAAAAGAATACAACACTTGTTAGCTTCAGGGATCCTCAACCTTGGCGACCTTAAAGACTTGCGGACTTCAACTCCCAGCTTGGTAGATCAGGGGTCCTCAACCGTGGCAACTTTAAGACTTGGGACTTCAACTCCCAGAATTCCTCCGCCAGCAAAGCTGGCGGAGGAATTCTGGGAGTTGAAGTCCCCAAGTCTTAAAGTCACCGAAGTTGAGGACTCCTGTTGTAGATCACCCTGGAGGGGTCAAGACAGATATGGGTGGAAAAGATGGATTACAAATTTGTTGAACTTCAGGCCTGAACGGGTAGCGTATAAATATTTTAAGCAAGCAAACAGCTGAACTTGATCAAAAGATTGGACATCTGGTGAGATGGAACATGCATGAAAATACTGTATTTATTCCGAAGGAAGACACGTTTTTCCATTCCCCTAATCGACTACAGTTATTCAAGTTGAGCAACTGACTTACGACCACAACTGAGTCCGGAATTTGTCGCGGAGTGAGAAATTTGTCAAGGGAGTTTGGCCCCGCTTTACGACTTTTCTCGCCGCGCCTGTTAAACGAATCGCTGCAGTTGTTAAATGAGTCACAACGGTTGTGGAGTGAATCCGGCTTCCCCGTTGACTTTGCTTGTCCGAAGGACGCAAAAAAAGGGGATCGCCAGATCGTGTCATAAATACCGTATATGCCGGCGTATTAGGCGACCCGGCGTATAAGACGACCCCCGAGTTCGACGCCGGGTCGCAAGACGATCGACGCCGAGTCGCATATAAGACGACTTTCTAGGCATGCGACTCGGCGTCGATCATCTTATACGCCGGAAATGACGTCATTTCCGGCGTATAAGATGACTTTCTAGGCATGCGACTCGGTGTCGATCATCTTATACGCCGGAAATGACGTCATTTCCGGCGTATAAAATGATCGACACTGAGTCGCATGCCTAGAACGTCATCTTATACGCCGGAAATAATAAATAAATAAATAAACGTTATGACTCGGCGTATAAGACGACCCCCGAGTTCGGAGGCTGTTTCATCGCTCTCAAAAGTCGTCTTATACGCCGGAATATACGGTATGTGTCGGTTGCCAAGCCTGTGAATTTTGTGGCGACGGTCGTATGTGTGAAAAACGGTCATAAGTCCGGTGTTGGTCATTACCTTTAAAGCCCTATATGGCTCAGGGCCAGGCTATTTGCGAGACCGCCTACTACCTCATAGTTCCCTACGTCCGGTTAGATCCCACAGGCTGGGCCTCCTTCGGGCCCCGTCGGCCAAGCAGTGCCATTTGGCGGGGCCGCGGAGGAGGGCCTTCTCTGTGATGGTGCCCACGCTTTGGAACCAGCTCCCCCCAGAGATTAGGACCGCTCCCACCCTGTTGGTCTTCCGTAAGCTACTTAAGACCTGGCTTTTCCGGCAGGCCTGGGGTTTATAAAACCTGACCCCTGGATGACTGTCTTTGCATTGTTTGTTTTGTTATGTTTTATATGTTTTTTATTGTTAGCCGCCCAGAGTCCTTCGAGAGTGGGGCGGCTTATAAATTTTAAAAATAAAATAAATAAATAAGTCACTTTTTTTTCAAGTGCCGTGGTAGCTTCAGTCACTAAACGAACGGTTGTAATTCGAGGACCACCTGTAGTAAATATCTTGATTTTAATCATGGAGAGAAGTCATTAGGGGCTCCGGACCGAGTTCAGCAACATGCTGACCTCACATGGAAGGCACAGAAACCCCGGGCACCGTCCCCGACAGTGTTCTGCGAGAAATCTGGTTGCAAGGCCTCTTGGGAAAGATGCTCTTGCCATCAAAAGGAAATTTATTTATTTATTTATGAGACTTATATACCGCTTTAAGTGCAAGCACTCTCTAAGCGGTGTAGACCAGTAAGCAATGTATATATATATATTTACATTGCCCCCAACAATCTAGGTCCTCATTTTACCTACCCCGGAAGGATGGAAGGCTGAGTCAACCTTGAGCCGGTGAGATTTGAACCGCTGACCTGCTGAACACAGTCAGCTAAAGTGGCCTTACTGTGTTTCTTCCCCCCCCCCAAAAAATAAGACCCAGCTGGAAAACAAGCCCTAGCACGATTTTTTTCAGGATGCTCGTAATGGAAGCCCCGCTCCAAAAATAAGCTCCCAGTTAAGATCGTCAGCCAGACGGATGCATTTAGTACCGTATTTTTCTGAAATTAAGACCTAACCGGAAAGTAAGCCCTAATGTGTCTTTTGGAGCAAAAATTAATATAGATAAGATAACCTTTATTGTCGTTTTTTTTACTGTGGGCACAACGGCACACATCAAAAATGAAATTTAGTTGCCCAGTCTCAAAGTGAAACACATACATGACACACACCTAAACATACTATGTACAACATATGAATAAACCCGCACCCCTACCTATACATAACAAATAAATATTAATCACTGTTCATCTTGAATATATAAAGGAAGGAGGAAGCTTGAGAGTTCACAAGGTTAATGCTGTATGGAATGAAACTGTGGCTGAATCTGGATGTTCTGCTATGGATACCACGAAGCCCCTCCTCCCAGAAGGTAACAAGGAGAACAGGTCGTGAAGAGGATGTGTAGTGTCCCAGATAATCTTGCGGGCCCTGCTCAAGCAGCGCTTCTGTGTTATGTCCTGGATGGGAGGGAGGGAACTGCCAATGATCTTTTCAGCCGTCCTCACCACTCTCTGCACCACTTTTCTGTCTGAAGCAGCGATGCTTCCAAACCAGACTGTGATGCCGTATGACAGGATGCTCTCGATCGTCCCCCTGTAGAAAGTGGTCAGGACAGGGGAAGGAAGATGTGCTTTTCTCATGCGGCGCAGAAAATGCAGGTGCTGCTGTGCCCGCTTCACCAGTGTCTCGCTGTTGAGTGACCAAGCCAGCCTACTCATTAGCTGCACACCGAAGAATTTGATGCTGGTAACCATCTCCACAGGTGAATCATTAATGCACAGAGAAGTGTGGCTGTGCCTGCCTTTTCTGAAATCGACAATGATCTCTTTGGTTTTTCCGGTATTTAAAACTAGGCTTAGTTCCCTACACCAGTCCACCAACCCTTCAACCTCCTTGCGGTAAGCTTCCACCTTGCCATCCTGAATAAGGCCCACTCCTGTTGTGTCATCTGCAAACTTCATAATATGGTTTTATTTTCAGGGAAACACGGTATGTCGCTGTTCTCTAGCTCAGAGGTCCCAACCTTTTGGGCACCAGGGACCGGTTCCGTGGAGAGAGGTTTTTCCGCGGACCGGAGGGTGTGTGGTTTTGTGTGCTGCTGGAATCCTGCGGATGAGGCTTTGCTTGTTTGTGCGGATAGGTTGCTGGCATGCCTCGGCCCGGTACTAGTTCACGGACCGGGTTTGGGGACTCCTGCTCTAGCTGAAATCCCAAATGATGACGTTTGGCCTCTGGCGAGGCAGATAACAACATGTGGCCCCCAGAAGACAGCAGATCTTTCTCAAGGTCAAGAAATATGCATAAATATATATTATATAAATTCCCTTCTCGCCCTTATTGTGGGTGGTCTGTATCTTCCTTGGGAGTTTGAGGGTGCAGGTCGCCCTCGAATCACGGCCACAACGGAGCCCCAAATTGCTAAGTGAGACATTTGTTAAGTCAATGTCGTCCCATTTTACAACCTGTCTTGCCACCGTTGTTAAGCGAATCACTGCATTTGATAAGTTGGCGACGCGGGGGTTGAGCGTGTCTGGCTTCCCCACTGACTTTGCTGGTCGGAAGGTCGCAAAAGGGGCTCACCTGACCCCGGGACACTG